TGGGAGAAACCACAAGAAAGAAAAAACAAACAAACAAAAGAGAAGACAAAAAAGAGAGAGCAAATAATATGTTTTGATCTGCATTCAGACTCTATAGTTCTTTCTCTGGATGTGGACAGCATTTTCCATCATGAGTCCTTTGGAGTTATCTTGGATCTTTGCATTGCTGAGAAGAGATGAATCTATTAAAGTTAGTCATCACACAACATGGCTGTTACTGTGTACAATGTTCTCCTGTTTTGCTCACTTCACTCAGCATCAGTTCATATATGTCTTTCCAGGTTTTTTTGAAGTCTGCCTGCTCATCATTTCTTATAGCACAATAGTATTCCATTACATTCATATACCACAACTTGTTCAGTCATTCCTCAACCGATGGGCATCCCCTCAATTTCCAGTTCTTTGCTACCACAAAAAGAGCTGCTATAAATATTTTTGTACATGTGGGTGCTTTTCCCATTTGTATGATGTCTTTGGGAAACAGATCTAGAAGTGGTCTGGGTCAAAGGGTATGTACAGTTTTATAGCCCTTTGAGCACAGTTCCAAATTGCTCTCCAGAATGGCTGGATCAGTTCACATCTCCACCAACAATGCATTAGTGTTCCAATTTTCCCACATCTTTTCCAGCATTTATCATTTTCCTGTTTTGCCATGTTAGTCAAACTGATAGGTGTGATGTGGTACCTCAGAGTTTTGGTTTTTTTTTTTTTGATTTGCATTTCTCTAATCAAGTGATTTAGAGCATTTTTTCATATGACTACAGATGGCTTTAATTTCTTTATCTGAAAACTGCCTGTTCATATCCTTTGACCATTTACCAATTGGGGAATGACTTGTATTCTTATAAATTTGACTCATTTCTCTACATATTTTAGAAATGAGGCCTTTATCAGAGATACTAATTGTAAAAATTCTTTTGCATTTTTCTTCCCTCCTAATCTTGGTTGCATAGTTTTCCTAATATTGAACCAGCCCTGCATTCCTGGTATAAATCCCGCCTGGTCATAGTGTATTATCCTTGTGACAAGTTACTGTAATCTCTTTGCTAATATTTTATTTAAAATTTTTGCATCTATATTCATCGGTAAAATTGGTCTATAATTTTATTTCTCTGTTTTGGCTCTCCCTGGTTTAAATATCAGCACCATATTTGTATCATAAATAGAATTTGGCAGGACTCCTTTTTCACCTTTTTTCCCAAATAGTTTATATAGTATTGGGATTAATTGTTCTGTAAATGTTTGGTAGAATTTACTTGGAATTCTACTCCATTTGGCCCTGGAGATTTTTTCTTAGGGAATTCATTGATTGCTTGTTTAATTTCTTTTTCTGAAATGGGGTTAAGTATTTCATTTCCTCTTTTGTTAATCTGGGCAATTTATATTTTTGTAAATATTCATCCATTTCACTTAAATGGTCAGATTTATTGGCACACAGTTGGGCAAAATAGCTCCTAATTATTTGTTTTAATTTCCTCTTCATTGGTGGTGAATTCACCCTTTTCATTCTTGATACTGGTAATTTAGTTTTCTTTTTTTTTAATCAAAATTTTTAATCAAATTAACCAAAGGTTTATCTATTTTATTGTTTTTCCCCATAAAATCAGCTCTTAGTTTTGTTTATTAATTCAATTGTTTTCTTTATTTCAATTTTATTAATCTCTCCTTTGATTTTCAGAATTTCTAATTTGGTGTTTAATTGGGTATTTTTAATTTGTTCTTTTTCTAGCTTTTTTAGTTGCATGCCCAATTCATTGATCTCCTCTTTCTCGTTCTCTTGGATGAAGTTATTGATTGTTTCTGTGATTTGTTGTTTGACCCACTTATTCTTTTGAATTAGATTATTTAGTTTCCAATTAATTTTAGTCTGTCTTTCCATGGCCCTTTATTACATATAATTTTTATTGCATCATGATTGGAAAAGAATACATTTAATATTTCTGCCTTTCTGCACTGGACTGTGAGGTTTTCATGGCTTAATACATGGTCAGTTTTTGTGTAGGTGCTATGTACTGCTGAGAAAAAGGTAAATTTCTTTCTATTCCCATTCAATTTTCTCCAGTCAAGCCTGGATTATTGCAATAGCCTTGTGGTTGGTCTCCCTGACTCTTTCTTTACAACCATTCATCCTCCAGTCAGCTATCAAAGTGATCTCCCCAAGCACAGATATAACCATGTCATCTCAACTATTCAATAAGTTCCAATGATTACTTACTACCTTCAGGATTAATATTTATGCATATGTATGTACATAAGCATATATATACACACACACATACATATATATATGCGTGTGTGTGTGTATATATGTATGTGTGTATTGTGTATATATATACACATCCTGTTTGGGTTTGGGGTTTTTTTGTAAGTCTTTTTATTTTAAAATTAAATACAAAATGAGAAAAGAAAAAAAAAACCTGCCATATATACAGCAGAGCATAAGAGAGGATTCAATACAAAACAACAAATTTCTATTTCAAGAAAATGTATACAATAAATACTACACTTTGTTTTCATAGCTGCCCAGCTTTTCTTTGCTTTATTTTGGTTCTCTTTTGTTCTCTGCTTATCCTGTTTTGTTTTTTAAAGCCCTTCATAACCTGATTTCTTCCTACCTTCCCAGTCTTCTCACATTTTATTCCCCTCCATCTACTTTATGATTCACTCACACTGGCTACATTACTATTCCTCAAACAAGACACTTTATCTTATGATTTCACTGTCTGTCTCCCAAACCTGGAATTCCTTCCCTCTACTTCTCTACCTCCTGGCTTCCTTCAAGTCTTAGCTCAAACCCCATTGCCTGAGAATATCAGATTTAGTGCTAATGCCTTCCTTCTGTAATTATTTCCAGTTTATCCTGTATATAGCTACTTTGTACATAGTTGTTTGCATGTTGTCTCCCCAATAATAATTGGGAGCTCCTTGAGGTGAAGGACTGGCCCCCCTCCCCCACTTCTCTGTATGCTCAGCACCTAGGACAGTGCCTGGCAGGTAGGAGGAGTTTAGTAAGTGCTTGCCGACTTGGCTTAATCATCTCAGAAAACTTCACTATGCTTCCTTACACTTAACTGGAGCAGATGAATGTGTTCTCATGAGGGAGCAAAGTCATTGAGTGTGTTTCCTGAGGGAATCATGGTTGCCTTCCTAAAACACCTTACTGATTCTGCATAGTCTGGAATAGGTAAGCTAGTAAGGGAGGACTTGGGCCTTAGAATATAGGTTTTATTTTATAATTTAAAAGAGGAGTACATTTGTGATTCATGTATAACTCAGACCCACTGGATGGAGAAATGAATCATTTTCCTTCTTTGGGGCTCAGGTTACCTCTCTGTAAAATGATGGGTCTGTTCTCTAAGGTCATTCCCAGCTCTATATAAGATACTTTCCAGCTAGAATATTACAATAGCTAACATGTATATAGAACTTTAAGATTTGCAAAACACTTTACACATATTTCATTTTTATCCTTATAACAACCCTGTGAGATAGGCATCATTATTATCCCTATTTTATAGACGAGGAAACTGAGGCTGAGGGGTTACGTGACCTGTCTACAGTCACATAGCTAGTAATTGCCTGGGGGAGGATTTAAATTTAGGACCCTTCCCCCCACCTTACTCCAAATCTAGCATGCTAGCCACTAAACTACCTAGCTGCCTCATGTTCTTCGGTCTCTTCCAGCTCTGACATCTTATGATCTAAGATCCCTTCCAGTTTTATCATTCTATGTACTAAGGCCTCTCCCTGTTCTGACATTCTCTGTATTAAGATCTCGGGTCTGACATGCTACGTTCAAAAGTCCCTCCCAAATATGACATTCTGTGTTCTGAAGATCCTCCCAGCTCTGACTCCCTATGTTCTAAGGCTGCTCCCAGGTCTGACATTGTATTCTCTAAGGCCCGTTGCAGCTCTGACATTGCATGTTCTAAGGCCCTTCTCAGTTCCGACATCCTATGTTCTATGTCCTTTTATCTCGGATATTCGAGGTTCTGTGCCCTTTCAGCTCGGACATTCTGTTTTCTAAAGCCTTTTCAGCACTGACATGCTACGTTCTTTCAGCTCTGGCATTTTCTGTTCTAAGGTCCATCTGGGAGCAGCGCGCTGACATTCGGTCAAAATGAAGCTGGTCTTTTCCAGCTCCTTATGAGCCAGAGCAACCAGAGCAACGCCCCCCTTCCTCCATCTCATACCCTTTTCCCACTCTTCGGCCTATTCCCCGATTCTTGGTCCCCCCACCCCATTTCCGTATGTCTTCCCTCCCCCACCCGTCCAATACCCCACCCCCCCCCGGCCCCCCTCGCCCTCAACTCCTCCGCCCCCCAGAGCGTCCCTGCACTCAGGGCCGGGCGCCCCCGCGTGCCGCTCTCGTTCTCGGGGGCCCAATGAGGAGGTAGCGGGGGGGAGGAGGCGGAGCAAAGCTTCCGTCGGAGCGGAAGCGGCGACCGGAGCGGAAGTAGAGAAGCCGCTGCCGCCGTTGCCGTTGCCGTTGCCGCACCCCGGGGAACCGCCGCTGCCGCCGCCGCAGTAGCTGCCTGAGGAGAGGTTTGGGGAGGAAGCGGTCGCCGCGCTCGAAGCCTTGCCGGGAAGTGTGTTGTCGCTCGCTGCCCGCTGCACGGTGAGTGCGGGGCCCCCGGGGGCCCAACCCGTGGCTCCCCTCAGGGAGGCCGGGCCCTTGCGGGTGGGTGGACGGGCGGGGTCATCGAGGTCCTGGCGGCCCGTCCTGTCCTCCGCCGGATCCGACTCCCTCGCCCCTGCCATGCCCTGGCCCGGGCCGGCCCCTCCCTGTTTCCGGCCTGGGCCCGCGCCTCCCGCTAGGGCCGCCCTCCGCTCCCCTCCCCTCCCCTTCTCCTTGGGGGCCCACTCCTGGCCCCCTTCTCTTGTTTAGCCACTCACTCATCCATCCATCCATCCATCCATTCATCCATCACATCCATCCATCCATCCATCCTTTCTTCTCTTCTCTTTCGGAGGGCCCCAGCATCCAGCCTGCAGCCACCCCCACCCGGGCCTCCTGCTCCGGCCATCCCCTTTCGAACCCAGCGTGGTACCCAGGGACCAGCTGGGCCCCGAGGTCAGGCTGCTTGCAGCTTGTTGCCTGAGCCCCACGTTTTCTGCATCGAAATAAATCCAGTTGTTTGATAAAATACGGGTTTTTTCTTCATCCTCAGCTGGCGTGGCCCACTGTTGGTGAGTAAGGGGTTTAACCTTGGAAAGCGCAGACGGAAATGAGCTCCCACCCTCTGCTTTGCTGCAAAGCCATTTCATCGTTCAGTGGTTATGGGGTTTTGCCAGTGCATTTGATGTCGTGCAAAGCTCAGAATTACGATTGAAATTAAGAAAATGCAGATTTTTCAGCAGATTGAGTCAGACACATTTCCAGTAAAAAATAATTGAGGCAAGAAAATGGAATTCCCTGGGGAATACTAATTTAATAGCTAAGGTTTTTGTTTGTTTTTTGTTTTTGCCTGGCAGGCATCTACCTATTCAGGGCCCAGTCATGTTTTGGGGTTGTGATTTGTGGAATCGATGAGAGGGGAGTATGTGAAGTGGGTAGCTTCCACTCCTGCCCCCCCACCTTTTTCCCCCCAGAAAGGCATTGCCTTTGGCAAATGGAATCTTAATATGTAATGGTTTGTGATGGCAGAATTATTAAGGTTATCAGCCCCCCTGTAAAAACCTACACTTCTCCTCCTCCTGGCCCTAATTGCATTCTCTTTGTTAAGAATAGATAGCATCAGGCTCTGATTTTACTTGCCCTGTGTGGGTGGATGGAATTTGGCCAGATTTTGTGTATCTGGAGAGCCAGAGAGAAAGCTGCTGAGTCCAAGCAGAAAGGGCATTTCACATGTAAATCTATGAAACTTCATGTAAAATTCATTTACATAGACATTATGAATACATGGCAACCTGGTGGCTTGAAAGTTAGATTTTTTCCTTTCAGCCTACATGAATTTTGGCCTTGTGTTATATGCTACAGATTCCTCCCAGTATATGTACCTCACTGTCAGCTGGAAGATTTCTTCCAGGTCTTGTCATTTTTCTTGAGTTCCTACTGAGGGTAACACAGGAAAAAGCTAAGGATAAAACCATGTGAATTTTTATTGGGCTTAAACTAGGGCATGAAGTCTGACCTCCAAACTTGAAAGGCCAATTCACCAACTACCACTGGATTATAATTCTCAGCTCACTTTGTGAGGTTAGACACTATGAACCCATTTTACAGGATAGGAAGTCATATGAACTGTGATTTGGCCTAGATCACATGTCAAGCCTTAACAGTCCTTAATCATCATAATTAAGTATTCATATCAGGAAGTGTCATCCCTAGAGTTGTGGTTAAAATTGGCCCATCATACAATAGTTAATGGATACTGATGCCATTTTAGAACTAGAACATTGTAGATCAGATGGAACAATCTCCACAAAGCAGGCTGGGTAAATTCTTAAGTAGTCAGGCAAATCCAGAGCTCCAGGTCACTTGCAGCAAAAAATGGAGGTTCAGATCCCTTCTTGCCTTCAGCTGTGATCTAACCCAGTTGTAAACATGTTGCTTTCACAGTGGTATAATCAGGATTTTCATGTACTTTTGTGTATTAATACAGATGTTTCTTCTGCTTGTAATACCTTACCTCTTGAGACAGGGACTGACTATTGATCTGGAAGACCTTGGATTCAAGACCAGCCTCTGATATTAGTTGTGTGACCCTGAGCAAGTAACTTAAACTCTTATTGTCCCACATGGTTCTCTGAGGCTATAAATTGTTGAATAATTGCTGATCATCAGCATTGATTGAGAGTTTCCTCTCTAGGAGTTCCCTACACTGTGAAATCACAAGTTTGGACAAAAAAAAAATTGTAACCCTTGTTGTAGATGTTAGCTAATTGGAGGGAAACCATTTTTGGATCTTTAATTTAGCTAACAAGTCATGTGGTCAAATTAGACAGTTTAGACATAAGAATAACAATTTTTTCTACTTGTAGGATTTTTAATAAATCTTTTCTGTAAAAGGACAATATTTGTAATATCACTTTACCTTTTGGCATATATCATGTCATAAGTGGTACTGAAAATAGCATCTTCATGATCAATCAGTTCCTAGGATCAGGAAATTATACTTGTCCAGTCACTCACTTTTCATTAAATGAGACAAGGAACCAGCTGAATAAGCACTGTAGCTCAACACATTGCATAGTACTTCACAATGAACAGCAAATGCTTTTAGTCCTTAGTGTGTTGTTCTTGTGTTCTGTTAAAATACAGAATTGTGTTTAACAAGAAATTGTGATTATGAAGACAAAATCTATGGGGGCCATATGGGCTTTGTCTTTTATAGGGATGCCTGAAGGGTTCTGGTGTGTTCTAGGAATGGGCTCTAGGGGGAGAATCTACTGACACTCATTTTTTCAATACTGTAATTTTCCTTTTTTGCACCATAGTATATGTGATAAAGCAGCATGAAATTTGTTGATTATTTTTAGGTAATTCTTGGCTTATCAGAGTCTAATAGTTCATTTTCTCAGCCCCAGAAATCCCAGGTTCTTTTCTGTTGGATTTTGAAGGTATGGACTCTCAGCATCAGTTTTTCTGTATTGGCTTAATATTTTTTCTCATGTTAAATTTCCTACAAATGTTTCTGTTGGAGTAGATAGCCTAATAAACATTGTCATGAGTGCATTGGATCAAGAGCACTGAGTTCTAAAATGTACTCAGCTTACTTGTAACAAGCTCACTTAGGCTAAATGATTGACTTGTTTACCTAAGGAAGGATATAGTTTCTTACCTCTTACCTTCCTCAGAGAAAGAACGATGCTTGTAACATGCCATAAAATCACAGTGTCAGAATTGGAAGGCATTTTAAATATCATCAGGTCACTTCCCCTGTTTAAAAAGGCTCTGAGTCCCAATGAGGTAGTGACTTGCATAGTGTCACCCAGTAGTTAAAGACCCAGTATTGCTGACTTCCAGTCTAACACCCTTCCCTCTACCACAAGGTCTTGAGTAATATATTAACCTTTTGAGAGGTAATTGACATTTGAATAACCCTTAAAGCTCTTTTCATCCATTATCATTTAGTCCTAACAACTACTGGAGGCAGGGATGGAGGTGGTGATGGAGTGGGAACAAGCACTTACTAATTGTCTACTGTGTTTTAAGCACTGTGCTTAAGCACTTTATAAATATCTCATTTGATCCTCAAACTGCAACTCGATGAAGTAAGTGCTTATGTTATGATCCCTATTTTACAGTTGAGAAAATTGAGGCAGAAGAAGTTAAGCAACTTGCCCAGGGTCACAGAGCTAGAAAGTATCTGAGGTTATACTTGAACTCAGTTTTCCCTAACTCTAGGTCCAGTACTTTCTCTACCTCACCACCTAGCTGCCTAGTCAGTAAGGGATACCTATTTTAATGGATTTGTTCTAGGTTACATAGTCAGTAAACAGAGCCAGGACTTCAACTCAGATCTTATGAATCCCAGGACCAGTGCTCTTTTCACCTTATCAGAACTTCCTGCCAAACTAGAGAGACCAGGAAAATCTAGCCATGTTTTTGGCAACCTTCAGTAATTGAACCTAAAATGATTTTTTGGTCTTAATTATATCATCTGTAATCTATATTATAATCTATAATAGGAAATATATTATCTTTGGTAACTTGATTGTAAATGATGATTCTCTTTATTTGTGACTGAGCTAGACTTAACTTTCTGAGGGGAATACTTAGTATTTTTAGTTCACTTTTCCTGCCTATCCCCTTAGTGACTTTTTTGTTAAAAACCAATAATCTCACAGCTTTTTCTCCTAAAATGTCTTTTAATGTAGACACATATATCTAGTTCTAATACTTGGAAAGAGATGAAAAGGATCAATGACCTATTTAGCATCCAGAGAACAAGTCATTCCAAGCAGACTGCAGGTCAGTGAAGATGGCTTAGTTTTTTTTTTTTAAATCTTGCCAGTTATATATAATGTAAGTTTTTTTTTTAACCTCTGTACTAGTTAATTAGTTTATTTTATGTTTTTTTCCCCCCCTCCCACCAAGTTTCCACAGGGAAAGCTATTTCTGAAATATCTTAATCTGCTAAAGGTATTCAAAAGCAACTGTAAAGCAGGTATGAATACTATCAGTTATTAGTTTGCCCCCAGATGGGTTTCCTTAAATTGTTTTGACTATTTATAGCATTTGTTGTTCCTTTATTATATTCTCAATTATCATTTTAATGTTAAGGCTAAAGAACTGCCTTTGCATTTTCTTTGTAGGAGGTGGCCTTGGATCATGGAAATAGACTTCAACTGGGGGTCGCTAGGCTCAGTTCCTAGTCTTGACTCTACTACTTATTAGAATTCAGGCAATTCACTTCCTCTCTCTTGGGCTTCTGTTGAGCTGTCTTTAAAATGAGGAGGTTAGACTAGAAAGAATAGACACCAGCAACATTTCCAAGGATACTTTCAAACTCTGTTTGAATCAGAATCTAAGCTTTCTTGAGGGCAGAGACTGTTTTTTCTTCTTTTTCTTTATATCTCCAGCAGGTAGTGTAGTGCTTTGCCCAAAGATGCTTAATAAATGCTAGTTGGTTTAGATTGGATTGGATCTATGACATAGCCATTGATAATATAGCCAACTGATCCATCTGACAAACAATATTTCATTTCTAACAATGATCAAACTCTAGAACTGATTACAGATGCAATCTCTGTGGAGAGTTTCATGGGAGTCTATTGGGTATACTTGTTTGCTTTAGGGATTAAATCTTTGTCATGAAAAATTAACAGTAGTGTCCATGTATGGGTAATAAATGTAGACGTTGCACATTGATATGCAAGAGAGAATGTCTGTTCTGAAAATCTAAAAGAAAGTTGGATTTGAAATAAGGTAGGACTGGATCTCAAAAAGGGCAATGTAACACTCTGTCTTTGCTTTTTAAATTTTCACAAACACGGAAACTAGGTGTGTGCAAGCATGTGAATGTGATGAGAGACACAGAGAAAGACAGAAATTACCCTTAGAGGTAGCTTAGTACAGTTGAAAGAGTCAACATTTAATTAATTACCTGGATGATGATGGGCAAGTCTTTTAATCTCTTTGGATATCAGTTTCTTTATCTGTAAAATGGGGGTAATCATACCTGTAATACCTACCTCACAGAGTTGTTAGGAGGAAGAAATGAGAGAAAATGTGGGTAAAGGTG